TTGTTGATTTTGCGAATAAAGTCCAGATGGTCGACTTGTTTACTGTGAGCAGAGCTTTAACCTAATCTAGCAAAGTACATTTTTATCACCATGTTATTTAAAATGTGACTTTTCCGATAATTTTTTACATCCGTTGTATTTTTCTTGCCCTTCTATTTTTCGGCAATTTTGCTTATGGCCAATTGTACTTTTTTACATTTAAAATTCCGTTCATTGTTTTTGCTTATCTGAAATTCATTGTTTTTTATTAAATTTTGCGCTAAATTTTGATGTTGCGCTGTTTTGCTATGTTTGTTGCGCATAAATTCTTTTGTCAGGCCATTATCACGCCGGTCTCTTATCATCGCTGGGCTATTATCACCAGGCTTACAGTTCAATTGAAAAGTCGGGTAAGTGGTGTTTTTTGCACCAAATTCCAATCAAGAGAAGTCACAGAAACATGAAATCACAGCAATATTTATGGCCTCTTCCATAGCCACTCTAAAAAAAAGGACATTTTTTAATTTTCTATCCAAAAATGTCCAAGAATTCAAGCATGACGAGACAGTTTTAACGATGCACACTCTGGATCAACTGCAAATTCGAAACATTAGCAGCTAATAGCGTTGACAAATTTTACAGCTGCTTTGTTCAGTGATCAGCCTGCTGGCCATCTCAAGCTACAGTTAAGCAGAAGGCAGTACGGGCCGTAAAGGCCCTATAGGCAAAAGGGAAAGGCTAATAAGCTGAGGGACAGGAACAATGACCCATTCAATGAAGGGTAAAGACCAGGAAGGACAGCACTTGCCCTACAAGGTTACTACGAATCCGAAACGCGGTAACCAGTAAGTTTGAAAAAAAGGAAAAATTAAAATAAGGTCATGAAGATTGTAGTGTTGCATATGTATAGAAACCGTATGTCATGTGAAAAGTCATGTAGGAAGATGTAAAAGGAAGTATGCCTGTGTTTCATCCTTAAGGGCGGTAATCATCAGTACAACCCCCTAACCACCATGTTACAACGAAAATAGCTTGGATGAGAAAAGGGGTAGGATAAAAAACATGCAAAAAAGAAACGGAAAAAAGGTCTTAAACTAACATGGAGTGCAAAGTTCTCAGCCTTGCTCCGCTTGGATACCGATTCCCCTTGCAATGACATACTAGAAATAATTACACTGATAAGAAATGAGAGGATGTTACATCGGATTAGCGTCGGAAAGTATTATCTCGCAAATCACGCTGATCCCGTGGTCATTACAATATATGTATTTAGTATGGGTAGCAATAAACCTATCAAATTTTTTGTTGATGTTTAGTTCCACATGTGCAATCAAAAGCAGCTTAGGCTGGAACGCATCAGTCGAGCCGGTGCCTTCATGCATTTTTGCACTAAACTTGCAGAGTGCTAAAAGCAGGAATGATCCGTGCGTTGTGGTCTAATACTTGGGCTCCTATTGCCACGCTCTGGCCTCTTTCGGCATGCAGGAGAAAGGGCGTCGGTTGGGATGAAGGTGTTGCGTTGTAGAGCCGCATGGATCTGCAGGTACATGATTACCAACTTTTTGCATGAAGCTCGGTGGTTTTTCGATAAATGCTAACTTTTCGAAAAATCGAAAATGCAAATTTTATGAAAAAATGCAAATTTCCAGTTCACTAAAAAGTAGAAGTATTGCTTGAGCGATCGGTTGTGAAGAAATTCGAGTATGCAAAAGAACTAATGTTCATTTACACATCTGGATGAGGGCGGTCTTTCGCAGCAAAACGCACTCGTTTCTGGTTTCTATGCGTTTTTGCTGTGCAGCGCTACAGCTAGCAACCCAGGCTGGAACGCACCAGGCGGGCCGGTGCGATTATGCGTTTTTGCTCTTCTCGTGCCGTAG